GCAAGGATCAAGTGCTCTCTACGGGTTGATTCTTCGACACTCCGTCGCGGTGAATCACCCACAACTGCTCACAACTTGAGTTGGGTCATCCACAAGCTCTCCGGATGATCACCAAGCTCACAATCACCACCAAGCCGTCTAGCTGATGGCGATCACCAAGAGTAACAAGCACGAACTCTCACTTGACCACGATAAGCCTAATGAGAAGGGTGGATGCACACTTTGCTACTCTTGATCTCACTAATGAGGGCTGTCTTTGGGATTCTCAAATCTCAATCACCTTACTAGGACCTTGCTCTTCTTGGCACTCTCTAAGGTGTGTTTCAACTGTTGTAACGAGCAAAAGTACCCCCACACACGAGTGGAGGTGGTATTTATAACATCAGCTGAAAAAATAAACCATTATATGCCTCTACTGGGTGACCGGACGCTCCGGTCATGTTGACCGGACGCACCGGTCAGTACACCCCGAACTCCAGTGGTTACGTGTTGACCGGACACTAGCCAGCATCCGGTCAGCACTAACCGGACGCGTCTGGTCGCAATTTACCCTTACTGGAACCTTACTGATGTCGACCGAACTATGGAGCCCCAGCGTCCGGTCACTTGCTGCTCAGTGTCCGGTCAGTAGCCAAAACCTGACCAGCGTCTGGTCAGCACTGACTGGACACGTCTGATCAGGATTTTCCCTCTCTGGGACCTTACTGGAGTCGACCGGGCGCTGGCCCTCAGCGTCCGATCACTCACCTCTTCAACGTCCGGTCGCACCAGATGAACTCTCCTTGATCAAATGAACTGACCGGACTCTGCGCCAGCGTCCGGTCAAACCAAAGCCAGGGTCCGGTCAGTATTTGATCCTCCATTCACTTCCAACTCACGATCATGTGTGAATGAAGTTTGCTCCAATTGATCTTAGGCATATTTAGGAGCTACCTAGTGCTAGTTTTAACAAATGTGCACCACACCTAACTCACTAGACTCACTTAAGTCAAGCTACCCGTCCATACCCCCCTTAATAGTATGGCCAAAGGAAAAACGAAGTCATAAACTAATCTAAGTGTCTCTCCAACTCCAAACGACACTTAGAACTAGTCCATTCTTAACCTTGTCGTCCATCCTTTGAAAACCGAAACGATTTCCATCGTAGGGGTATGACAACCATGAATGCCCAATCAATCTCCATTACCGTGACCTAACTTAATTGCCTCTGCAAAACACACGTTAGTCACAGTAATCTTATATTGTCATTAATCACCGAAACCCAATTAGGGGCCTAGATGCTTTCAACTAGCAAAGAAATGTGGATACTCATTTAATTTTAATCAACTACTTTAAGCTTTCCCCAACTACATTTGCAAACTATCAAGTGAGTTTGAGCTTAAATAATGGTGTTTAAATCCAAAATAAATCCACCATTCTTTCTAATGTAAAAAACCTTAAATTTCTCTATTTCTAAACCATGAAATGAGGCAATGAAAGGTGCATAGTAGTTTTGATGAGCTACTATAGGATTCCTTCATCTACGTATGCAAACTATCAAGTGATTTTGAGCTCAAATGGCATATAAATAAAAAATATCCACCATTATTCTCAATGTAGAAAACCACAAATTTCTCTATTTCTACACCACAAAATGAGCCATGCTAGTGATGAAACATGAGATGATGAAGTTGGTAACCTTTAGAACCGAAGAATGGATGGAGGAATCGAATGAAGTCTTGAAATGGCGGTTGGCGATGAGCAAGAAACAGAGAGCTTCAAATGGCTCAAGCTGAGGGAGGAAGAAGGGAGTATATAGCCCAGGACCTGTAGTCCCGGTTTGTGGTTCAAACCCGGACTACAGGTGGACTTCTATTCCCGGTTGGAGCCATCAACCGGGATTAAAGCTTTAGTCACGACTGGTAGCTCCAACTAGGACTAGAGGATAATCTTTAGTCCCAGTTTGAGCCACCAACCGGGACTAAAGATCTCCTGCAAAAGCCTGTGGCTCTAGCCGTTGGGCAGGGGACTTTAGTCCCGGTTGAGAGCTCCAACCGGGACTAAACCTATCTTTAGTCCCGGACCCAAAAATGGCCGGAACTAAAGCCTAAAACCGAAAGTATGTTCTCTACTGGTGTCATAACATGAATAGCCCCACATAACATCCTTATATAATCTTTAAATATGTGTATGAGACTAGCTCTTACCATGAGTTGATTTTTCTCACTCTTCTATTAGGAATGAAACCACATACTTTAAGCTAGCTCATAAGTTATCATTGGAGCAGCTTTAAAAAAATGCATTACACACAAAATGCAACGAAAAATGTAGGCGGAGCTCTATCATGTTTCAAAATGCTTTCATACTATCTAGACTTGTAGCTATAAATGACATGTTTGATGGACCCCCTACCCCAAAAAAAACGATATCCTTTTTTTAGGAAGGTATTAAGACTCTGTCCACAGCTTCTTCACTAGCTTCATCAGTTGTTTGAAGTTGTCTTTGTGCCAAACATGGTTTTTGCAAACAGCTTCAATTCTCTTAAAACTTGCTCATTCACGGGGACAGAGTGGGATGAAGTTGGCATCACCTAGCTCTCTCCTTCAGGCCCATAGTTCAAGGTACCCACTGCTCTTCTAATTTATCGGCTGTTAGGTTGCACAGTAGATTTCGGATGATTTCGGATGATTCAATAGTGTTCTGTGAGAGAAAATAAGCTGAAACAATCTGAAACTTGAGCAGCCGAACACGCCCAAAAAGTATGGTACTCTACCACTGGGTCTCCCACGCTCCGTTTAATTTCCTCTTCCCTTCTCTGTTTCTCTTTATCCCATTCACATTTATTTGCGTCCGTCGCTCCTCACAGGCCGCCGCCATGGATGCCCTGTCGCCTTGACGTGCCGCCGATAGTAAAGCAGATAGATTTGAGGGCCTAGAAGAGGATCCAATCAGTTCACGGGCTGTTGGATCCTTATTTTCTCTTCTCGCATGGGGTGGGGGAGGCGCTCCCCAAGTGGGCTTCTTGGCGGTGACTAGCCCAGCGTGGCCCCTGGTGCACCCCTTGGCAGTGACGAATGGCCCGGCAGCCCCAGTGATGCGGCGCCTGGCGGTGACGGATGGGGTTGGCCGGAATGGCGTGCTTCAACGGCCAGATGTTTAGGCCTGATTGAAGGAAGGCGGCTGAAGAAATTGGAGATGGTCACACAGAAATAGGGGCTCTTATGCTCCTATTCGTGCCTGAAGTGGACTCTCACAAAGGTCGCCTATTGTTCCTGCTGCCCCTGCATCTGACACTATCGATCTCACCGATCCAATGTAATTGAAGTTTTCTCAGTTTTACATGCCAACAGCTACAATGCGTGTGAACTAAACAAACTAGAATTGATGCTTCCATCAATAGTTTGAATACAGTAGCGTGCAAGATGTAAAAAGTGTGTTGTTTGTTTACAAGTGAAGCTGTTCGTGAGGGTGAAACAAGAAAAACTGCTTCACTAGTGAAGTTGAGCTGTGCTAATACCAAATATATAAAAAATTCTCTTCTTTTCAAATTATAAGTTGTTTTAGTTTTTTTAATATATAGTTTTTATTGCATATTTATACATAGGCCATATCTAGTTGTATAACAAAAACAATATACCGGTTCCAAACTATTAGTTGTTCTGACTTTTCTAGGTACAATGATTTTGTGGCAAAACAAATGTAATCTGTACCACCAAGTTCTGAAAATAAAATTTAGGTGAGGGAACAATCCCCCCACCCCACCCCAACCCCACCCCCCGTGACATTTAAAAAAATTGGAAGAGAGGGAGTATTAAAATTTATAATACATAATAAATATTATTAGATAAATAAAAACATATTTTCATAATAGATCTATTTGAATATATAAATATTATTATTATTTTTTATAAATCTAGTTCAACTTATGAAAAATTGACTTACTCTTACGCTAGATGATCACAATTTTTTTAGAACAAGGGAGTGCAGCAAAACAGAGTACATCATCGAGTTGCAACCAAGCTTAGCCAGAACATTATTTTCATTTATCTATATATATATATATATATATAAGGTAAGGCTATTCTGCAGTTGGTCATAAAATAACTTATTCTATAGCCACCTTGATTTACGATAATGTTTGTACCAATTTACGATAACATGAATATGCATTTACGATACTCGTGTTACTATAACTCATGGTGATATTTACCATAATGTTATAGTAAATCATTTAGTAAGGAGTTACTATAGTAAATTAGCATAGTAATTATCGTAACTCAAAGTGGCCACATAATAAGTTATTCTATGACCAGCTGTAAAACAGTAGTTTATATATATATATATATATATATATATATATATATATATATATATATATATATATATATATATATATATATTATACATCGAAAACTATCTGGTGGCCCATGCAGGTCCGAACCTGGCCCAAAATATGAAGCCCGAACCTGTCCTCTAGGCGGGCCTAGGCGTAAACTGTAGATCCACTCGGACTTTTTGCACATCTGCCTCGAAACCCGGCCCGAGAGGTCAAGCCGGCAGGCGCCATGTGCACGTGCTTGGTCGCCGACCTCAGCCACGTCAAAGGACGCCGCCGGCGCCACGTGACGCCAACGCCGTCCACCCTCTGGCCTCTAGAATGAAACTGGGCCCCACCTCCTCCACACTCCCCCCGACCGGAGAGAAAAAACTACACGCACGCGACTCCTTCTGCGAAACCATCACATACCCACAGACAAGTGGGCTACGCCAACAGAACCGCCATCAGACCCCACACGTCGGTGAGCGCACACGTATTGCCCACCCGCAGAATCTACACCCGAATATTCCACTCGCTTCCCATCCTCCTCCTCCGCTCCGCTCTTGCCTTGGCTCTCCCACGCCTCCGGCCACCGCCCATTCCCAAAATTCCCAAGGCAAGGCACGCATCGAGATCTCGCCAGGCCACCGCTGCTCGCCTTCGACGCGCACAATCCCCTAGCCTTAGATCACACCACCACACCATGGGGACCATACTGGCGGCGGCGGCGGGGCCGGGCACGGCGCTGGAGGACCTGCCGAAGGACGCGCTGCTGTGCATCCTCACCCTCCTCGCGCCGCCCGACGCCGCCGCTGCCGCCGCGTCCTCCCCAGCGCTCCCGCTCGCTCTCGCGCTCCGCCTCGGCCTGCCCCCGCCCCCGCCGTCTCGCCCGCTGCTCCCCGCCGCCCCCTGCCCCGCCGCCGCTCGCAGGCTCCTCCGATCGCTCCACCGCCTCCGCCGCTTCCTCGGGCTCTGGCGCCGCCTCCCCTCCGGCTCCGGCTACGCCTCCCCGTCCCTCGCCGCGTTCGAGTGGGCCCCGCGCGCCACGCTCGCGGCGTCACTCCTCGCCCCCTCCGCGGACGGCGGCGTCGGCGTCTCCAAGTCCCCCTTCGTGACGCTCTCCATCGACGAGTCCGGCGACACGGTGGCGGTCGTCGGGGAAGTGCCGGTCTGCGTCAATTTCGTCGGGAACAACCACTTTGTGGTGGAGGCGGCGGCGGGTGAAGATGAGGAGGTGGAAATGGTGAGCGGTTCGCCGCCGGAGGAGATGTACGCGCACTTCGCCAATCGGAGGAGCCCTGGGGCCGGTAGAAGGAGGAGGGGCAAGCAAGGGAGGAGAGGAGGCGGGATGGAGGCAGAGCACTTCGTGAGGATTGCGGACACTGAGCCGACGAAGACACGGCCGCTGCAGGGGCTGTGGAAGGTGCTTCTTCTGTACACACTCTTTTTGCTGTTGTACAATCTCCTAGCACTGTCCTGTTTTCAATTGGAAAGTTCGATTGTTTCCGTATTTAGCTGCAACAGGCTGTTGAACGTCATTGCTTGTTTGTGCAATTACCCATAAACTTGATGTCTGGTACTGCACCCATTCCCATGAAGATGCCTCATTCACTCAGGGAACCTTACACCCTTGGGACGAGATCGAATAGAGGATCAAAATCTACCCTGCATCATGTAAATACTGAAGAGGAAAGTGCCTTCCGGGTTGACAGCTTCTCCTTTTTGAGGATTTTGGTTCACATTGGTTGTCACACACTACTAGAACCATTGTTGGAGATTGAACTGAAAACTGTATGCATTTGTTTGAGTTCATATTCACTTGCTATCACAGAGGAATTACATGCTCATAGCATAGTTTCATGGAGCCAGAGATGTTCACTCAGGTTGAAATTTTGCACATTCAGCACATATGCTTAGTCCTTACCATGCATTAGTGTGACATGTTTAAAGTTGTGTGCTTGCTACGGTGAACTGCATCTAGAATTTTCAGGGATGATTGTTTTAGTTGGAATCAGTTGAATACCATTTAGGAGAACATGAAGCTGCTTCTTTAGAGTTGGCTATTGGTATAGTTGCTAGCTTTGGCCTTTTAGTCTTTATGGTGCATTTATATACTGCCTTATGGGTTGTATTTTCTCTGACATAATTTTCCTGCTGGTGTTTATGTAGACCTTGAACCCTTAACTGTTATCAGAACTACCAGTCCATGTCACAGTTGGGTTAATCAAATGGCAAGTTTTCTTTGTCAACAAGCAAAGCTGTATCTTTCATGGTTTGGTGCCTTCCATTGCATAGTTCCTTGTGCAACTTGATTCTCATAGTTTTATGGCATTGTTGATTAAGAGCCATGAACTGTAGTGCACTAGTGCTGTAGCCTTACTGTGACTAAAGCACTGAACTGATGTCAGCAGGAAGCATGCTAGTGCTGAATTGCATGCAAAGGGTACCCAAAACAACCCTAAGATTTGCTTTAGTTTCATCGGATCTTGATACTTCAGAAGCTTTGGGAAATCTCATTCAATCATCCCAAAACATTTCTAGACACAGAAACTACTCTATGGTGGTTAGATGCAAATGCTATTTGTATGTGTCCAAATAATCACGGTTTTCTGGATTATTTTGTTATTACAAGCTGGGGCATTGTCAGTTAACTTTTCCAGATTCCAATATTGGTACGTTGTTATCAACTATATTTTTTTTATGAGAAAACCATTGTGGGAGGCTGAACAGAAATAGCTGTGCCTGTAGCTGCACATTATTAGGGTGAATTAGTTGTGGTTTAGCTAATCACAATCCTCGAAATTCTACAACATTTCGCAGTTAATGCCATCTTGTTTAGCATTTTGCATCTTACCTCTGATTTGGAGAAAGAAAATGCCATTTTTAGGGTTTGAAAAGTACAAGCTAATTCGTGTAACCGTGCAGCAATTGTGATTTTCTAGATGTGAGATTCAAAAAAGTTTGTACATTTTCATTGAAATATTATGAATTTTATCTCATCAATGTTGAAAAGGGCGTACCCAGTGCAGAGAGCTCCCGCTCTGTGCGGGGTCTGGGGAAGGGTGTCAGTGGCAAGCCTTACCCTCGCCTATGCAATGCGAGGAGACCACGACTCGAACCCGGGACCTTCCAGTCACAGGCGGTAAGACTCTACCGCTTGCACCAGGCCCGCCCTTCAATGATGAATTTTATCTCATCAATGATGAATGCCCACAATTAAGATTTTTAATATTCATTTTTCTATTTCTTCAAAAAATTATTTTCCTGTTGTATAATTGATCATTTGGCATGCACACAACACACAGAGTGATGTTACCATTTTTTTAATTGGAGGATTACTATGTACTTGGTTGTATGCTTTATACCTTTTTTAATAGTTGAGCTTTGCCATGCACAATACGTTAACTTCCATATTCTCAAACAGGGTATATGCGAGGATATGACTCTGGAATTTTACCTCGTCACCTATGATAACATTGGTGGAGTAACTTGTCGACGATTTAGGGATACACGGAGCCAAAATTCTGGCTACTCTCCTGTCTTTTGGACGACAGATACTACATTTCTTGAACCACCATTCTCTGAGCAAGAGCTGGATAATTATACCAGCCGCGATCATATCCAAGGTGTTACTTCCAACCATGCTGGCACTGAGAACAGGGTTATCTCAAGGATATTGTGCATCAATTCCAGTTATGATGTGGTTGATCCTCATCTCTCGACTCCCTTAGATGATGGGAGGAGTGTGGAGGGAAGGATTTGGCTATATGAGGATGGAACCTTCGGTTTTGGATTTGTTGGCAGTAATTCAATTATAGATCTGAGGCATGTCTCCTCAGCTGGTTGTATTCTTGATACTTAACATAGATCTGGATCTTGCTGGCACATAATTTTTGCCAGCGAGCCCCTTGTACAGTACTTTTAGGAAAATTCAATAGTTCGCTTGAGGCATGTTGCCTCAGATTGTTGTATTATTGATGATAAGGTCACTGAATACAGGTCCCTTCTGGCACGTAACTGTTGCAAGAATACCCTTGTAAACCAAACCTTGGTTCCTTTGGGCATGTACTTGTTGATAGAATACCGATGTATATTACTATTTGTTCATTGAATTCCAATAAATTGCTACTGTTACTTCCTCATGAGGGCTGGTACGTTCTTATGTCCTTGCCGCCAACTTAACAATCTAGTAATATAGAGCTGTTTTTTTTACTTTCCAACTTGTCATATGTCCTTGTCCATCATAGGAAGCTTGTTCAGTTGTCATTTACTGATGTCATTCTGTATGAGTAGAAAAGTTACAGCTGTCTCTTTGTTCTGTTTTAAAAGTTTGTGTAGCCTTAAGTAAATAATTTTGCTAACTTGGGCAGTACTAGTAATGATACTACAATAGTACTTCTAGTCTACTAGTTCCGTAGCATTATTTCAGCATAATTACACCCATGTGACAGGCTGTTGTATGTTGTCTCCGTAAAATAATTGTTTCATTATAGTTAGTTACGTTCTCCAAAGAGTACAATTTTGCAGGGACCCACAAACTTGCAAGGTGGGTTCAGCTGTATCCTGGATTCCAGAAATGCATGTTTATGCCCATGAAGTGTAGGAGGTTGGTTCTTGGTTCACTTGTGTCCTATGCTTCAATTTGTGCTCATGAAAGTTTAGTAAGTTGCTCGATCAATTTACGCTACCTGAACAGCATCTATTTCTGTGTAACCATTACTGAGGTTTTTGCTGTTAAATTTCCCAGCAATGTGTTGTCTGATCTTCAAATTATTTAGGTCTGTAATTTGGGTTCCCTGATAAAAAGTTGTAACTTAGAACCCAATGTAATGCATCATTGGGTGGCACTGTGGTAATTTTACCTGTTTAGGTTTTAATGTATTGTATACTTTGTAAGCTGATGCCATTGGCCAAGTTCTGTCTTTCTAATAAGGCCTTTTTCTGCATTATTAGATGGAGATCTGATTACCAAAGCTATTTTCTACAATCTTGTGGCAGCCTAATGTTAGCCTGAAGACAGTGACTTCTGCTTATAACCAGTTCTACATCTTAGTTGACCAAAGTAAGACCATTCTTTGTCGTGATTGCTACTTTACGGGTAGAACGGGGTACTTCCATACTCCTGTATAAATTGAAAAACTCATCTGGGAACTATTGATTAAGCAACGATAGTATTGTATACAGCTAAGAACAGCTTAAGTCAAGTGCATACGTCATACAGGTTTAATCATTTGTCTGCTCGATCCACAATGATCTAATGAAGAGCCAAGAGCCAAATTCCTTTATCTGTTTCTAGATTTGTGGGCATAACAATGTCCAATCAAGGGTCAAGGCCTTATATCTGTTCCTTTGGGGTTACTGATTTAAATATTCCTGAAATCTTTTGGTTACAGAGTGGTATGATGGTACTCTAAATAATGCATTGTGTTAAATTACGTCTTCTCAATATAAATTTTGACTGGCTTTCACATTACACAGTCTTCCTTTTCTTTTTCACTGGTATCTAGTTGCATATTTCACTGTACTGTATCATTCTTCATGCATTCTGTACATTAGTAGTTATGATTGTCCCAGAACATGCTTTAATTTGGTACTACCAATGGGCAAATTCCTTACTTTGTTGCCATTATTATTTCCAACTTTGATGTGTGGTCCAATTATGGCCGTCACATTAATTGTTACTGTCCTGCTTGCAAGAAAACAAACAAAAATGGTTGATGGGTGGGAAATTGTCATGTTAGTTGCTCAAAGGGACAGCTAGTGAAGAAAATCTGTCAGCATATTCAAGCTGGTGCCTGGGGATCTCAGCAGCTGGGCAGTGACTGTCATGATTCATCATCTCTTAGAAAATCCTCTCACACTTTTTTTTAGGACAGGTCTAACCTCTTTGGGATCCAGAATCAACAACAACAACAAAGCCTTTAAGTCCCAAACAAGTTGGGGTAGGCTAGAGTTGAAACCCAGTAGAAACAATCAAGGTTCAGGCACGTGAATAGCTGTTTTCCAAGCACTCCTATCTAAGGCTAAGTCATTGGGTATATTCTATCCTTTCAAGTCTCCTTTTATTGGCTCTACCTAAGTCAACTTTGGTCTTCCTCTGCCTCTCTTCATGTTACTATCCTGGCTTAAGATTCCACTACGCACCGGTGCATCTGGAGGTCTCTGTTGGACATGTCCAAACCATCTCAACCGGTGTTGCACAAGCTTTTCTTCAACTGGTGCTACCCCTAATCTATTACGTATATCATCCTTCCGAACTCGATCCCTTCTTGTATGACCGCAAATCCAACGCAACATACGTATTTCCGCGACACTCGTCTTTTCGTAGGCCAACATTCTGCACCATACAATTTGGGATGGCAATCAGATTTTGGGGCAGAATTGGTAGGATTGAACGAAGGTGTACCCCCTTTTGACTCCCTGATATGGAATCAATTTGTGCATGTTTTCTCTTGTGGTGATTTTCTTACGGCCTTCAGCTAGTGACATTGGTATCACTTTGGATATCCTCCAGCTTTTTGGGGACGCCTCCGGGTTGAGAACAAATGTGCAGAAGAGTAATGTCTTCCCCATACAGTGCTCCGCAGAGGACAACACCACTATACAAGAATATCTCCCGTGCCAGTTATCTGATTTTCCCTGCAAATATCTAGGAGTTCCCTTGGCTTTGCGCAAACCAACTAAGCAGCAGCTCCAGCCAATAATTGATCGAATTGCAGACCAGCTCCCTGGTTGGAAAGCAGACCTACTTACTAGGGCAGGAAGGAAAGTATTGGTTCAGTTTGTAATACATCGGCGGATCCAGGAAAAAATTTAGGGGGGCCTGATCCTTCACATACCTTCGACTGCTGCTCGATCTTAAGTCTCAGCCCCACCTACACTATAAAACTTTGCCTAAAAATTTATGGGGGCTCCAGGGGAGTTCCACCTACCTGAACTTGGAGGACTTGGGATTTCTAGTTTGCAGCAGCTAGGATGGGCTCTCCGGATGTGATGGTTGTGGCTGCAAAAAACTGAACCTGATCGGCCATGGGCGGCCTTCACGATTCAAGTCCACCCCTGAGTAAAGGCTTTCTTTGCGGTGGCCATAATTTCGGAAGTTGGCAATGGCAGGAACGCTCTGTTCTGGACTGACCGATGGTTGCATGGTCAGAGCTTAGCTCAACTTGTGCCTAACCTCTATGGTTCAGTGCCTAACAGAGCAAGGAAGAGAACAGTTTTTGAAGCAATGACAGAGTTGAGATGGGTTCGAGATATTAGGGGGGCTACTACAGTGGCAGTTTTGGTAGAATATTTCAGGCTGTGGGATATCCTTTTAGAGGTGGTATTGCAACCTGATGTTGATGATTCTCATGTTCGGCAATTTTCTGCCTCAGGTTCTTATTCAGCAAAATCAGCATATGAGAGGTTCTTCAATGGTGCTGTACAGTTTAGGCCATGGGAAAGAATTTGGAAGAGTTGGGCACCGGGAAAATGCAAGTTTTTCATGTGGCTGGTGGCACATAATAGGTGTTGGACGGCAGACCGCCTTGCCAAAAGGGGGCTGCCTCACCCTGAACGTTGCCCACTGTGTGATCAGGCTGAAGAAACAATTAACCACCTGCTAGTATCATGTGTATTCTCCCGCCAAGTGTGGTTCAATATTCTTCAGAGGGTCGGCCTGCGGGACCTTTCTCCCCAGCCCAAAGACATCTCCTTTGATGACTGGTGGGCAGGCACGAACAGTGGAATCGATGGTCAGGCAAGAAAGGGTCTGAATTCTCTCATCATTCTAGGAGCATGGTCTATTTAGAACCACCGTAATAGATGTGTGTTTGATGGGATTCAGCCTAGTCTTAATAGGATTTTAGCTGCAGTTAAGGACGAACTACACCTCTGGAGTCTGGCCGGAGCTCGAGGAGTTTCCCATCTCCTTGCTCTAGAGCCAGCCAATGGGTGAGTTCTGCTCCTACTAGTGATCAAGGGTCACGTCTTTGTCTAGAGAGAGATGGTTTGTGCCTTGTGAAGTGTGTTCGGGGTGTGTTTGGTGTTGTAAGGGGTTTCTAAGCTCCTCTTTTTTCTTCTTAATATAATGATATGCAGCTCTCTTGCGTGTTCGAGAAAAAAAAATTGTTATATCATCGGAAACAATACAAATCGATGGCTATGGCAAGTTTGAGTTCAATGAGGTAATTAAACACAAAAGGTTTACTTGTTGAGTACTGTATGTGATATGTGGTATTATGCAACGCTCTGAATTGTCATAATGGACTTGTTGACTTGCTTTACACCTGCACGAAAGCTCTTTCTCTACCTTCCGGCATAAAATAATATTTGCTTTACAGCTTGTATGCTCTATTTGGTACTGACAGTTAATTCGATTTGTATCTGTACCTTGTCCTGTTGTTAGGTGCCAGCAGCCAGTTTACTGATATTTTCATTGAAGGCCTTTACAGGGGATGAATTTAATTTCACAGGAAAAATGTAGCAACATGGAGAAGTTCCTGCGTTCCAAACAGGGTCTAGATTGTTTGGAGTTTGTGTTTTTCCTTTTTTTTTTGTTTGGATTCGTTATTTTTCTATTGTTATGCATCCTTAGCCAAATATCATCTTAAACAAAAGATGGACCAAGAGCTTAGAGTTCTGTGTCTTCTTGGTGCAGAGGTATCTTCTGATCAATGAAACTGGTGAAACCAGGTAGAGCATTTGACTCAAAGATAACAAGGTTTACATGCAGATACAAGACAATAATATCATTGTTCTCTGAACGCACATGACCTCCATCGGTAAAATTGAAATCGAACCATGCCACAGAAATATATAGTGCCCTAAGCAAATGCAAGAAGATTAATTATTCATCTGTGGTTGTGCTCAGTGATTAAT